CATCGCAAAACCAGTGCTAGTGATCATAGTAGCACAGTGTAAGGAAAAACAACAACTTTGAAGTGAAACAAAAGACTATTAAGCAACACTAAGGTTGAAAGTCAGCAACACAAAGGTAGAAAGTCCCCATTTGGGCATAACCACCAAAAATCCCACACGCCCTCATTGCCATCCAGTAGACTCAGAGCAACCCCACAGGGCAGGGAAGAAACACGCATTTTGAGTTTTTGAGGCTGTAAATCTTCACAAGAACAGAAAGCCTCATCTTTCTCCTATGGAATGGCTGGCGGGTTTAAACTGTTTACCTAGTTAGTAGCCCAAAATACAACCCACTACACCAGCAGTTCTCAACCTGTGGGTCACGGCCCCTTTGGGGGTTGAACAACCCTTTCACAAAGGTCATCCGATTCAAAACAATAGCAAAATGACAGTGATGAAGTAGCAATGAAAATAATTTTATAGTTGGAGGGAGGTCCCCACAACATGAGGAACTGTACGGAAGGGTCTTGGCATTAGGAAGGTTGAGAACCACTGCACTACACCAACAGGGCTCCTATTAAGGGACATAACATTAAAAAATTCTAATGATCCTCAAAAACAAAGAAAACAATTCTCCAATGTATGAAAGGATTGGTCCACTGCAAACTACAACGTTAACAAAAATATAAGTGGAAACTATATCCATATGGAAATTTTGTTAATGACACAGATTAAGGACCAACACAAACACATAACCCTCTCAGCATGCTGATGATCTCTGTTAAAGCACGAAATGTATCCGAGGTGGCTTAAAGAAAAAGTAGGACGACACAACATTCAAATTATGTATGTCCTATTTTACAGAGTGCATCATGGGCATTAAACGATTTATGACTGTAAACAGGTAGAAGGATAAGAAATTTCTGGAAAAATAAACTTTAAGACTGATTGCCTCTGAGGCATCTGATGTCAAAGAGGGGACCACCTGTCAATGTATACCCTTTTAAATTGCTTGAAATTTTTTCTTTTACCATGTGTATCTACCACTTTATCGAGAAGGAACAGCACTAAATTATCTTGTAGTGCCTACAATTCTATACACATTTTAATTCTGAACACCTATAATTTGGAAAACATAAACATATCAGAAGAGTTTAGTCTATCAAACCAGACCTATTGTTTTATTTTTATTATGATTCATGCTTTGTTAGAAGATATAAATGCACTGACATATAATATTCTGAATTACAGGTACTTCTCCTTTGTGGAAAAACAAAAACTATTTGCACATCCTCAGAGTTTTCCAAATGTTAGTGATATGCGAGGGGAGGGGAGATGATACTTCAGTGCCAGTGTTCCAAATGAAAAGAAAAAACCCAGCCAGTTGATTCCCACAAGAGTTAATGGCTGACAATCACTTTTGGCAAAAATCAGATGTCAAATGGAACATCATACATCATAATTCTTTTTTCATGTTTTTATTATGAGTCCCTGAATCAATCTGTTAGAACTATTAGGAAGCAACAGGACAGAAAAACAGATTAACTTTGTTAGGCTCCTCCCAGAGCACTTTGTCAAAGCCTGTGTATTAGAATATATATATTTTTAATGTTTTTAATATTATACCAGAAGAATGTCATATTTCTTTGAAGATTCACCATGCTTTAATAAATACACACACACACACACACACACACACACACACACACTGTACATACCCATGGATAAGCTGAGTTTTCTCAGCACATTTTTGATGCAGTTTTTGTGGTGAAATTAGGTGCCTCGGCTGATACTTGGGTCAGCTGATACTCAAGTATATACAGTGTATCTATATATCTGTAAGTTGCTGCTAGGTGCCACTGAGTTGGTTCTAACAGATAGCAACCCTATGTACAACAGAATCAAATACTCTTCACTGTCATTGCTGATTGAACCCACGTTTGCAGTCACTGAATCAATCTCATTGAGTGGCTTCCTCTTTTTCACTAACCTTCTACTCTATCATGTATGATGCCCTTTTCCAGGGACTAATGCCTCCAGATGGCACATTCAAAGTACATCTTATCATTCCTTCTTCTCCAGAGCAGTTTAGTTGTTCTTCTATGACAGATTTGTTCATTCATCTGGCAGTCTATGGTACAGTCAACATTCATCACTGACACCCTATTTAAGGGTACCAATTTTTCATTGGTTTTCCTTATTCGTTGCTCAGCTTTCACATTCATATGAAGTCATTGAAAACACCATCACTTTGGTCAGGTGCACCTTGGTCATCAAAGTGATATCTTTGCTCTGTAACACTTTCTGTAATGCACCCTTTGATTTGACAGCTGTTTCCCAGCGTGCCAATTATAGACCCAAGTAAATGAAATCCTTGACAATTTCAATCTTTTATCTGTTTATCATGATGTTATTTCTTGATCTAGTTATTGGGATGTTTGCTTCCTTTATGTTGAGGTGTAACCCATATTGAAAGCTGTCGTCTTCTATTTTCATTAGTAAGTGCTTCTAATCTTCAATTTCAGCAAGTAAGGTTGTGGCAGCTGCATATCACAGGTTAATGCATCATCCACTAATTCTGAAGATATGCTTTCATTCTTCTAATAGTCTAGTTTCTCTGATTGCTCAGCATTCAGATTGAATAAGTGTGGCCAAAGGACATTTAAATCCCCGTTTTGTTCCAACTGTCTCGTGGCCTATGAACAGGTTCTGCATGAGCACAAAATGTTCCAGAATTCCCATTCTTTGAAATGTTACCCATTAATTTCTTATGATCCAGAATCTGGCGCCTTTATATTATCAATGAAACATAGATAAACGTCTTTTGGTATTCACTTTCAGCCAAAATCCATATATCAGCAATGGTATTTCTCATTCCACATCTAACATAATTGAGGGATGGGAATAACCTGGTTATTAGACAGAATAATGCAAAGACAACTATAGATTAAAATGATTAATTGGATCTGAATGATTAAAACCTTGTCATTTGGGGGAACGTATTACAAGGATCTACATATAACCTCCTCCCTGAGAGATGGACAACAGAAAAGTGGGTGAAGGGAGACATCTGACAATGTAATATATGACAAAATAATAATAATTTCTAAATTATCAAGGGTTCATGAGTAAGAGGTTAACAACAGGGAGGGAAGGGAAAAATGAGGAGCTGATACCAACGGCTCAAGCAGAAAGCAAATGTTTTGAAAATGACGATGGCAACAAATGTACAAATGTGCTTGACATAATGGATGGATGCATGGATTGTGATGAGTGTAAGAGTCCCCAATAAAATGATTAAAATTAATTAATTTTTAAGGCCTTGCCATTTGATCTTCCTTTGTGTTTGATCCGGTTTTTAATATTTGCTTAATCCGGTTTTTAATATTTTCTGTGGGGCTTTTTTGGTCTCTTTTTCATATTGGGGTTTATTATCGGTGGCATTTTGTCACTGTTGGTAGCTTTCTTGACTCTCTGTTACATGTTTTTCTGTTTTCTGGTATATGAAACCCAGGCTGACTTTCTTAATTCAACTTGACTTTCCTATAGATGCACACCTGTGGCCATTTGTGAATTATCAACAAAATGTTCATTGCGTTTATTCAACATTAATGTTTTTGTTTCATAATTTTCACATTCTGCTAAATCATCTTTTTTTGGAATGTGCACAATAATGGATCTCTTCCAGTCCCTTGGCCAGGTAGCTGTCTTCCAGATTTCTTGGTATACATATCAGGACTTCAAATATTATGTTAGCTTTCTGGAGCAGAGCAAATGGTAATCTGTGGTTTCCTAAAGCCTTGTTTTTAGTCAATGTCTTCAGTGCCGTTTGGATTTCTTCCTTCAGCACCATTGGTTCTGGATCATATGCTACCTCTTAAAGTGGCTAAGCATCAACTAATTCTTTTGGGGACAGTGATTCTCTGCATTCCTCCATCTTCTTTTGTTGCTTCAATATTGTGCCCATGTTGTTGTTAGGTGTCATGGAATTGATTCTGGCTCCTGGCAACTCCTAGTCCTGCATCATCCTCACAGTCATAGCTATGTGTGAGCTCTTATTATGTTTCCGTTTGCCCACAGACTTCTTCAATATTGTAACTCAAGGCTTGCCTTTCTTTTTTTGCCCATTCTTTCAGTTTGAAAAATGATAAGCATGTTTTTTCTTAATTCTGTTTTTCCAGGAACTTTTTGAAACCTCATGTATTGCCAAGCACTGCCACACAGTCCATCCCAACTCACAGTAACCAAATATGGGATTTCCAGGACTATAAATTTTTACAGGAGCAGTCAGCTCCACCTTTCTTCCCGAGCGTAGCTAGCAGATTTCAACTGCAGGCCTTGTAGTTAGCAGTCAAACACCTGACCTATATGTACACAATGTACAAATTGTACAGAGTAAAGTATATTTTAGGATTTCCCAGTATAAAATTCATTCTTCAGGTTCTTTGAGCTATTTTTCTCCATACTAGCACAACCCACACTGACAATCGGGTTTTGTTTTTATGGACAAAACTCTAATATTATCAGAGCCTTAACACATTATATTTTCAATCAATATTTGCATCATTGTTTTAAATCATTTGCATCATTGTTTTAAATCATTCAATCCTACTTGGATGCAAAAGATCCCTAACTAAAAGGTTTGAGTTAGCACTACCTAAGATTAGGATGCATTCCTAACTAGGAGTTGATCATATACAGCAGGTAATGAGTGACATGATAAGAAAAATCTTACTGTATTTATGTGCTCTCTCTTTTCAGAAAAGATACAGCAACCTCTTAATTGATCTTCCTGAAATTTCTACAGATTACCACTTATCAGATGTGGAAGCGAACTGAATAAATAGGAACACAATGTATTTTTAATGCCTTTTATATGATGTGCAATAGTAAGGGAAAATCATAGGTCATTTTTTTGGGTGCACCTGTATACATTTTATTAAATTGTTACATTTTTAACTACAGTTCAAAAAAATAAAATCGTATAAGTGAAGGAAAATGACTAATGCATAAACATTTACCTGTTGCATCAAATTCAATTGGCTGGCACCGGCGGCTAGAGGACCAGTCACATTTGAGAACTTGCCCTCCTTCTACAATACCAGGCTGAGTAGTGTTTGCTTTGGGGGCTCCCACCAGAAGAGACATCCTACTAAAATATAAAAACAGGAGAAAATATTTTAAATGGCATAAACTATAAATAATATCTTATGACTTATGAGGAGCTACTATGCTCTTGATATTACCCACAAATATAATCTTTATAAAACCATTCATGGAGAGCATAGTCTTCATTACTCACATGGGATATTAGCTTACATATTTTATCTGGCATGGTTTGTTCATCTGAATAACATTGTATACAGTAACTTGAGCATTTTATGTCACTTAAAAAAGTATGCTGGTTAAATTTTGTATTTTAAAAATGTGAAGTTGGCTGTATGTCAATTACCCCTCAAGGAACATATTAAAACTTATTCTGGTGAGCCAAAGAAGTTTTATTTGGCTTCTGACTTTTGTTGTTGTTGTTATTGTATACCTGTGTGTGTTCTATAGTATATATGTATGCTTATTATATATAATATATGTATATAGAGCTTTTTTTAATATCAAAGTCAAAAGTCCTCTTCTCCAAATTGCCAGAACCCCTCGGTAGATAGTATAGGAGAAGGCATTGAAACATAGCTAAAGAGCCTCTGCATAATCAATCACATAATAAATTGGCACATGTGGCATAAAACTGTCCAACATAGGTATGGACAAAGGAGAAAGCAATGGAAAATATAGGGCTCGGGGACCAATTTTCTTGGCTTTGATAAAGGCTTTGATAAAGGAAGCCTATTGAGAGAGGCGGAAACAAGGGAGACATTAAGTACTAAACAAGCAGGCTGACGGTGAAGAATAATGCACATTAGGAATAACTATATCATGACAAATGCTTTTTCTCCCAGCTTGCATACTCTGTACTACTCACTGCCACAGAGTCGCTTCCAACTCGTGAGCCAGTCACAGCCAGTAAGAACTGGAGGCAATGTGATCGCTGATCACATCTTTCCTATATGCTGAGGGGAAAATTTTTTTACCATATTCTAAAGTGTGGTAGTTCCACATATTATCATTTCCCTCTTAGAAAACAGAACTTCTTTTAGAACAAACCCTGTGCCATTGAGTCAATTCCAACTCACATCGACACTGTAGGGCAAAGTAGAACTGCCCCATTGGGTTTCAAATGCTGTGATCTTTGTGGAAGATTTCCACATACTGCTCCCAAGGAGAGTTCAAAGTTTTCCATCAGGACTCTTGTCCTGACTATTTTTTAAAATTACAATAAATAAGTTTATTAACTAAATTAAGATAAAATAAACTTATCTTTAATAGTTTAATCAAAATCCATTCCTGGTGGAAAACCACTAGGAATAACGAACTAAGGGCAAAGTAATAAGAGATCTCTGTTTTTGTTAAGTAAAAAAAAAATTTTCTTTCAATGTTTCCATTCATTCAAAATATAAAATATAGACTGATGCCCCTCTACATAAAACATCAACTTGGCACTGAAGACAACATCAAGAATGAAACAAGCATGGTTGTCTCTGTTCTCAATGGAATTTACATTCTATTGGGAGAGAAAAGAGGGGGGGGGACTAAAGAAAAAAAATCACTCACTGTTACCAGTGCTGTAAAGGAAACACACAAGGTTGAGAAAGAGATTATTTGAGGAGCTCCTTTTTAGATAAAGAAGTTATCTCTAAGTGATAGAGAGGAAGGACTTTCTTTAGACAAAAGGCAGTTTCTCTAAGGAAGTTGTCTTTAAGGAATGGAGAAGAGAAACCACCTTCCTCAGATAAAGAAATTAGGGGATGTTATCTCAAAGGACACCCATAGTTAAAACAAGATCACAAGGTATATGCCATGGATTGTCAGAAGAACCAATCAATATGTCTTGGAAGAAGTACTCCTTGGAAACAAGATGGCTTCATTTCATAGACTTTAAGCATAGTATCAGTCCCTGGAAAAGGATATCACACTTGATAAAAGTAGCAGGGCAGTGAAAGAGGAAGATCCCCTCTTTTTATTTTAAATCATTTTATTGGGGCTCATACAACTCATCACAATCCATACATACATCAATTGTGTAAAGCACACTTATACATTTGTTGCCCTCATCATTCTCAAAATTTGC